TCTTGGCCGCGCCCCTGAACTCTGTCAACTCTGTGGCTGGGCTCTGTAGCTGGGCCTTGTCCTCCTCTTGTCCTCCTCTGGCCGCGCTTCTGAAGTCTGTCAACTCTGTGGCTGGGCCTTGTCCTCCTCTTGTCCTCCTCTTGGCCACGCCCCTGAGCTCTGTCAACTCTGTGGCTGGGCTCTGTGGCTGGGCCTTGTCCTCCTCTTGGCCGCGCCCCTGAAGTCTGTCAACTCTGTGGCTCGGCTCTGTGGCTGGGCTCTGTGGCTGGGCCTTGTCAGATAAAGAAAGAAAGAAAGAAAAGAAACGAAACGAAAAGAAAAGAAAAGAAAGAAAAGAAAGAAAGAAAGAAAGAAAGACAGAAAGAAAGAAAGAGAGCTCGCGCTGCGCGTGCTCTGGATGGCGTGTCACGCTCCAGAAAGCCGCGCTCAGAGCGCGCTGCGCAGAGAGAAAGACAGAGAAAGAAACACTTAAAGAGAATGAGCGAGAGAGAGAGAGAGAGAGATGGAGAGAGAGCAGGGCGAGCGCGCGCGCTCTGAAATATGCTCCAGAAAGGCGCGCTCAGGGCGCGCTCTGCAGAGAGAAAGACAGAGAAAGTGAAATTTTAAAGAGAAAGGGAGAGACAGAGAGAGAGAGAGAGAGAGAGAGAAGGAAAGAGAGCAGGGCGCACGCTCGTGTGCTATGGACGGCGCGCTCGCGCGCGCTCTGAAATACGCTTCAGAAAGGCAGAAAGAGAGAGAGAGAGAGAGAGAGAGAGGAGGAAAGAGAGCAGGGCGAGCGCGCGCTACGGACGGCGCGCTCGCGCGCGCTCTGAAATACGCCCCAGAAAGGCGCCCTCAGGGCGCGCTCTGCAGAGGGAATGGCAGAGAAAGAGAAACTTAAAGAGAAAGAAAGAGAGAGAGAGAGAGAGAGAGAGAGAAGGAAAGAGAGCAGGGCGAGCGCGCTCTTATGCTATGGACGAGCTCGCAGAAATACGCTCTAGAAAGACGCGCTCAGGGCGCGCTCTGCAGAGAGAAAGACAGAGAAAGAGAAACTTAAAGAGAGAGAGAGAGAGAGAGAGAAGGATAGAGACCAAGGCGAGTGCGCGCGCGCTCGTGTGCTATGGACGGCGCACTCGCGCAATACGCTCCAGAAAGGCGCGCGCGCAGAGAGAGAGAGAGAGAGAGAGAGAGAGAGACAGAAAGAAAGAAAGAAAGCAAGCAAGCAAGCAAGCAAAAAAGCAAGCAAGCAAGGAAGGAAGGAAGGAAGGAAGAAAGAAAGAAAGAAAAAAAGAAAGAAAGAAAGAAAGAAAGAAAGAAAGAAAGAAAGAAAGAAATATATAAAGATATAAAGATATAAAGAAAGAAAGACAGCAGGGCGAGCGCGTGCGCTTGTGTGCTATGGACGGGCGCGCTCACGCTCCACGCAGTCAGAGCGCGTGCAAAGAGAAAGACAGAGAAAGAAACACTTAGAAAGAGGGAGAGAGAGAGAGAGAGAGCAGGGCGAGCGCGCGCGTGCTCGTGCGCTATGGACGGGTTACTGGGCTCTTGTCCTCCTCTTGTCCTCTGTGCTGGGCTCTGTGGCTGGGCCTTGTCCTCTTGTTGTCCTCCTCTTGTTGCCCTCCTCTCGTCCTTGTTTTGGCCGCGCCCCTGAACTCTGTGGCTGGGCTCTGTGGCCCGGCTCTGTGTCCGGGTCTTGTCCTCCTCTTGTCCTTGTCTTGGCCGCGGAACTCTGTGGCTGGTCTCTGTGGCCCGGCTTACTGGAGAGGAGTGTGGCCGAACAAATAGCGATGTCAATGCCGACAAAAATTCATTAATGAAGCAGTTTGCTCTTGCGGTGAAAGTAGGGCGTACCAAGAAATCGATTTTTGACTGATATTGGTCTAAACGAATCGTTTTGAAGCTGTTTGGGGTCTATGCTTGTATAATTTCTCTCCTTTTGGGCTCGGTTCTTTTCTGCTTCAAAATTCTGCAACCTCTTGGTCAAAAGCGGCTTTCTCAAGTCCTCTCACTTCAAGCTTTCAGCTCGACGAGGATCTCAGGAAATCAAGTCGCGTCTTTTTTATTGCGGCCGACGCTGGTGGCGCACCCAAGCCTGCCGTTCGCCAGCACAGCATCCAGACCTGTGACTTTCAGGGAGAACTTGCATTCAACACGGGCGGCAGCGCTCTGAGCAATCTTCTGCTTGGCACTCTTCTGGCTGATTTGGGCCCTGGACTTGCTACACTTCAACAAGCTGCCATGCTTCTGCCATCGATGCCCTGCCATGCCATCCAAGGTTGGAGTGCCATCCAGCATGCTCTGAATCAGCTCCTCTCGCCCTGGTTCCGGTGCTCCATTGCATCCTTAGTGATGATCTCTTGATGCGTGGAGCGTCGTTTGATGTGTCTATGGCAGGCTTCATAGCCAGAGTTCTCCGGATTGAGGAAGCATCGACCCTTGTGCCTGTTTTGATTGTTTTGGAAGGCTGCTTCATGTCCTGCTTGAGAGCCAGTGACTTCTCATCCGAGTTCATGAAGTGCTTGCTGTCGCATGTGCATGTATCCTCCGCGCTGCACTCCCATAAATCAATTGATGCTCAGCATCAAGCTTCTTGAGCTCAATCTCTTGTGCCTCTGGCTGGCTCCTCAATTCAGCAAGTTGCTGGGCATATCGGTGCTGAACCCATCCTTGAGCCCCATCGCCTGCCGTAGCTAACTTCTTTCACGAAGGCCACAATGGCCGTAATAACACGACGTCGTTTGAGTCTTTGTTTGGGTGGATGGGAGGGCTGAGATTTATTCCCCAAACAGCTTTGCTGTGAGTGGTTCTCAATTCTTGCATAGAAACGATTCTGGGCCAAGATGATTCCCGCCCTTTGTCCCCCCTTGTCTCCCATGGCGTATCTGGACGCTGGGCTGGGATGATTTGCTTTGTCTCCCTTCGTCTCCCCTTGTCTCCCATGGCGTATCTGGATGCTGGGCTGAGATGATTATGTCTCCCTTTGCCTCCCCTTGTCTCCCATGGCGTGTCTGGATGCTGGGCTGAGATGATTCCCTTTGTCTGTCTTTGAGCCCTTTGTCTCCCATGGCGTGTCTGGCTGCTGGGCTGAGATGATTTTGTCTCCCTTCATCTCCCCTTGTCTCCCATGGCGTGTCTTGTCTTCCTTTGTCTCC